GAGTTAATAAGCACGTAAGAATTGTTTTTTTTTAAACTAAATAAACATCCTAGTTGAATTAGCTTGAGCCATGGCATCCATAAATTCTTCTTCAATAGCTTCCTTAACAATCTCATTTGAATTATTGAGGGCATAAATTTTAAAACCGTAGCCGAAAAAACAACAAAAATTTTAGTAGCTTCCTCAAGAAACCTTAACCGAACTAAACAATTTTTTGTAGAAGTTAAATGCAAAGAAGCAGCGTCGGAGGCGGACATAGGAGATGTAGATCGATTTTATAAAAAAACATCCAACATCGATTAAGAGATGGGGACTCACTCTGGTGGTGGTCCAGGGATGGAGCGTCATGTGAGAGAAAGGGATAGAAGGGGGCGATGGAAGCAAAAGTCATTTTTTAAAAATTTCAATTTACCATAAGCGTTAATTCATAATCATCAATTAACCTACCACTAATCAGTTGATATATAATCATCCATTATTTACAAATATTTTTTTAAATCTAACGCAACACCCAAATTATTATGTAAATTTTAATCAATAATTGTTATTCTGTATTTAATTGAAGAAATTTATTGCAACAAGACATTAAAAGAAGTTGTATATATTTTACCAATTTGCAATAAAATATCCTAATTATATAAAATATGAATGAGTCAAGTTGGGTTTATACTATAAAAGGAAAAATTGAATACTTAAATAATATGAAAATCGGGTAAACCCACTAAAAACTCATCCACGACATTATATGTTTAACTATAAATAAAGAAAAAAATTGTTATCACCAAGAATTAAAAATTATTTTTTAGGGATAACACCGAGGTCAAATTGAACCCGTTAAAAAAGTTGGAGGGGACATGGACAAAGGTCTCATATATACTAAAATAGGCTAAATGCATTACATGGATTAAAGGAGATTAGGGTACAACACGTGCCAGCCTCTTACTATAAATATATCCGCTCTTGCAAGTGAAGAAGTGTGGTTTGTTTTTGGGTTCAGGTTACGAGTGTGTTTTGTTTCAACCTTTTCTTTTAATCGATGTTTTTTTAAGAAGACGTTAGTGAGTTTGGGATTAACCCTTTCCCATGTTATTTCGAGGAAGAAGATGCGAAAGACGTTTTTACGTGTATGTTCTGCTAAAAGATAAAAAATATGTAAGAGAACTAGTCCACAAGAAAAAATAGACAAAAAGAGTTTTTCCTAAAAGAAGCAAATACATTATGACATTTGTTGTAAAACCATGTGGTTTTTATTTGAAAATATTTACAAGAAAAATGAATGTCGAAGTTTATTATAAACTAGCCGAATCCCGCGCGTTGCACGTGAATAAAATTATATAGTTAAAATAATAACTTTTACCAAATTATTATTTAATATTTCTACTTTGAAACAAAATGTTAGTAGTAAAGCAAACATATAGTTAACATATTAGTTTTATTAAACATTATAGTTTAATTTTTAAGTCATTGTGATATATACAATTATTTAATAATTTTATAAACCGTTTAAAATTGTGTAAAATATATATCAAATGAATGATAATATAACCGGTAACAAAACGTATGAACAAAAATATGAACTGTAACTTTTAGTAACAAAAAAATAGAGAAACATCTATTATAACATTTGTATTAAAAAGGATATAAATATATATATATATATATATATATATATATATATATATATATATATATATATATATATATATATATATATATATATATACAACGAATAATAAAAAATATGAAAAATAAACACTATAACTTTTAATAACATAAAAACACTAAAACATCTATTATAACATTTATATTAAATCTTCATATTTAAATCACAAATCTCTTCAAATACATTAGTGTTTTTAATGAGAAAAACTTTACAACCTTATAAAAGAAAGGAAAATAAAAAGTTATTAGTGATTACTAATTAATAATCATAATTTAAAAAGTTTTGAGTTGTAACTAATAAATATACATAAATTAGAAAACTCTTGAGTTGCAGTGTGAATTTCAAATGAATGTGGTACTTGGAAATGTATTATTATTATTATTATTATTATTATTATTATTATTATTATTATTATATTCGTCTAAATAATTGGTTTTGATGCATCATTTTAATCCCTTCAATTATTAAACATAAAGATATTTAATTATAAATTTATAATATACATAGGTGCATATATATATGTTAAACAAATCACATATAATATATATATTTTCGTAACTGTCATATGTAATTCTTGTCGTACTAATATGGATAAATTACTTTAATATGAAGAACATATCATGATAAGTCTATCAAAATTACATATCAAATGTTCAAAATTATGTTATCTTTTAAATATTGTCTTTTAAATATGTTTTAAATATGTTGTGTAGGATAACGCAACAAAAAAATAATAGAAAGTAAACATAATCAAAATAGAAAAGCTACGATCAAATAAATAAGAGCATTGGGTGCTTGAATATATAAATAAAGATGTTACATAAACATACATTTAAATCAAAAGAACAAACTAACATTCGTCAACTTTGCTCAAACAAAAAAACCTATATATATTTTTTGAATCTTCTTTTTTCATTTAACACTATTCAACCATAGAAATTTGATGACAATTCTTCACTAACCTGCAATCAAAATATTTTTCTTGAAAAAGAAGAATCAGAAAGATATTACAAGCAAAACATTGACGTTTGGAGAGTCACATTCAAGATTGAATAATACACACAAATCACATATAAAGATTAAATGAGAAACTGAATATAAAGAAAGAATAGAAAAGCTTCATTTGTTTTGGTTGAAAGAAAAAATCATATTACAATTACCATCGATGCGACATAACCCATTTCTTGAAATCATCATATTTGTATCGTGAATGCTTCAACTATATGAAAACTTTTGAATCACAATATCTTCAAATCCTTCTTACATGTAAGATTTTATATAACACAAAAGACACAAAAGATTGGCCTTTTTATAGTAACAGTTTTCACTAAATGCTAATTAAACATAATATAAGTTATAAAATTTTTGAGTGTTAAATCATAATTAAGAAAACTTTTGAGTTGCATTAGTTAAAAAATGGGGTTTCAAATGAATGTGGTTTGAGGAAGTTAAAAAATGGGGTTTCAAATGCATTGGATTCAAGAAAAAATGCTAGCTTTATAAGTATGTATGATTCAACTTAAAGAAACTGACGGCCCTTCGTCAAAAAAAATGTCGTCTTTTAATTTATCACTTCTCCGCTTCTCCTTCTCGATCCTGAATCGGCTATGTATATTATTTCTTCCTGCTTCTCTCAATTTAGGGTTTTTTTATTGGAGAAAGAGTTAACATCGCTACGATCGGAAAGGAGTCAATATCGTTGCAATCTATTCTGATCGTTGTGATCGGTTGAGTCATTGTGATTGGGTCAGTTGCGTCGTTGCGCTCGGAAAGAAGTCAACTTCATTACGATTGGTTGCGTCGTTCCGATCGAATCAGTTGTGTCGATGTGATCGATTATATGACTCTAATTGGGCAGCTTGTCCTTCTACAAGAAGAATTGTAAGTGGTTACTTCATTACTATGGGTGGGAGTCCCATTTCATGGAAGTCTAAGAAGCAGGCCACAATTTCATTATCATCAGCCGAAGTTGAATATTGGTCTATTTGTAGAGTTTGATGGGAGCTTTCTTGGCTGAGTAGACTCATGGCTAGCTTCGAGATATCATAAATTAAACCTATTCCTTTGAAATGTGATAATATGGCAGCAATATTTATAGCCAAAAATCCAGTTTTCCATGAACGCACGAAACATGTTGATCTCGATTGTCATTTCGTTCGAGAGAAGTTACAATCAGGATTAATTTTAGTTTCTCATATTCCCACAACTAAACAACCTGCAGATGTTTTTAAAAAGTTTTTATCGGGCTGTGATCATGTGCATGCTTTATCCAAACTGGGATGCTTCCATATCCAACCAGCTTGAGGGGAGGGGGGTATTGGAGAAGGAGTTAACCGAAAGGAGTCAGCATCATTGCAATCCATTCTTATCATTGCGATCGGTTGTGTCGTCGCGATTAGGTCGGTTACGTGATTGTGATCGGAAAGAAGTCAACATCCTTGCAATTGGTTGTGTCGTTGCGATCGGATCAGTTGTATCGTTGCGATCGATTGCAACCCATCATAATTATTACAACTTGGTATTATTGTTTTAGTTGACTATGTTTGACCTTCTGTTAGGGAGTTAGTTGTTTGTAACTATAGTTTAGTTAGTTGATCAAAGTTGAGTTAATTGGTGGTTAGTTTGATGTATATATAGTTGTATTGTTTAATCAGATGGTTTTATCAATGAGAAATTCTTTCCAAATCTTTAACTTCTACATTTTTGGTTGTGAAAGGACTGGTAGGTTCATGATTGTACTATATGGAGCTTGGTTTTGTAAATTTCAGTTTTCTATAACTACAATTTATGACAATAAAGCTTTGATTCTACATACATGGGAAAATTCATTCATTATCCTCGAGCCACTCCCTAAGTGAGTTCAATTTTGCTTCTGTTTTTTCATGTTGGTGGTGATTTGTTTCCTTGAATTATGTAAGAATGGCGTGTGTTATTTTTCATTAATATATGTAAGTTTTCGACCCCCATTTAAATTCCGTCATTTGATTCAGCCATTGGAGTGTAGAAGAGAAGAATATAGTAATTGTTATTTTACACACAGAAGACTCGACAAACGATTCACAATTTATTGAATTATTATTTATGAGTTTCTCCAATTTTCTTCTCTTAGGGGCTATTTGATAGCTGTTGATTGAGTAAGATCTGACTACATCAGACTGAAACCATATTTTTTGATTATGCATCTGATTCGTTGTGCCGACTGTTGAAAATGACCATTTTACCCTTCTGTTTTATTTTTTTGTAAAATAAACCAAGATTTCGTAAATTCACATAAACCAAAATTTCATAAATTCTAATGAACAACATACATACATATTTTATGATTTCATCAAAGAATCTAATATAAAACAAAGAAGAGTGACATGTTATCATGTGGTTCCTCCTTTGAGCTTGGAAAAGAGTCTATGCAAGCATTCATTGTCACTAATGCTTTATTGGTAGCCATTGAAGGACTTGTATCACTGTTCATAGATTCATCAGAAATTAAACTTAGATCACGATGATAACCAAGTTGTAGCTTATATAGTGTCTTATCTACATAAAAAAAATAACATTGATCACAAAAACAGAATGATAACAATACAAACACCTCGATTAACTACACCTCAATTGCCGATGTGATTAAATAACCGAAAACTAAAAAAAATGTCAACTATTCCATAGATTTACCTTTGTTCTTAATTTTCAAATCAAAACTACTTACATTCATGTCAACTTGCACAAAACAGAAAGCGCGGACGAAATCATAAAGGAGCATAAAACAAAATCCAGAACATACTCGATTAACATCACAAATTCGCAACATATGTCAATTGAAAAGAAGAAAAACGTACCATAGATGGAGAGGGAATCATCTTTGAGAAGCTCAGAAGGAGTTCTCTCCATTTCTAACACATATAGAGAGCCCAAAGAACACACCTTTACCCTCCCCAACATCCCCTCTCTATCTATGCGTGTAAGAGCTTCACAGCGAAAAAGTAGAAGGAAGAGATAAAGAGGTAATGACGATAAACATTTTCCACGGTCGGATTAGAAATTTGGAAGCGGGAAGTTCCACATCTGGAATCGATTTTTCAATCGACCTTACCTGAGGAAGACGACGGTTCAGTGAAAGCATCAATTTTTCAATCGACCTTACCTGAGGAAGATTTTTCAATCAATTTTTCAATGTTGGAAGGAGCCGACAGCTACAATGAACCAGTGGCGGAAGTGAGTAGGACGACGACGACGATGGATAACGATGGACGTATGTAAAAGGGGCCAGAGATGGGAGGAGCCAGCGTCGACGTCTAGAGAAGTAGAGAAAGGAGTTGTGATGTGAGACAGAGAGAAAATAGATTGAGGGTATTTTCTCGGTCAGGTAATTTTTTTCAATGACCGAGTCAGAGTATGTAAAAGGGGATAGAGATGGGAGGAGTCGGCGTCAACGACTAGAAAAGGAGAGAAAGGAGTTGCGACGTGAGAAAGAGAGAAAAGGGATTGAGGGTATTTTCTCGGTCAGGTAATTTTTTTCAATGACCGAGTCGGAGGTTTTTTGAGGACCGAATTAGAGATATGGACCAGATAGGAGGTTCAAATGTTGTTATCAAACAGGGCGTTAGATTTTGTATTTGAATTTGGTGTCGGTAGACAAATATATAATTTTGAATTTTTCGTTACAAAGTGAGTAAGTGACAATCTCTTTTTTGAGTTCTAAGTTTCTCCACACTCACTTTATGAGACTTTGATGTAAATTTGAGTTTCAAATGTAATTTTTGACTTTCTTAGGTACATTTGATTTTCAAAAAGATATCTATATTCTTTCTGAATTAGTAAATGGAGCAATTGGTAACCCACACAGCCATGCTCTAAAATTGAAGCAGCCATTCATTTGCATGTGAAAAATTAAATATCCACATATATTTTGTTCATACTTATCTTCCTACTCCTATAAAACAATGACACATGGAATCCATTAATTCTCCTCTTAATCTCTTTTTTTTATTTTGATGTTAGTGTATCCCACATAAGGGGAGTCCATCATATATAGCCACTTATATTACTTTGTTGCACCAATGTGGAATACACTAACACTCTCACTTACATTCGGAGGCTCAATTAGGATAAATAGGGATATGCTGAACCACGAGGGTGCAGGACGTCGACTCTTATACCATGTAAATGATGGGTTTTATATACTACAACGTCCTATGGTAATGTGGGGTTTCAAAGCACTCCATGGATGATGGCAATGGGCCCCTTTGATGAAGTGTAGGTTAAAATCCCAAGACTTGTCTTTTCCCTATAAATAGTGATGTATTATTCACAATTAGGGTTAAGAGTGAGGCAAAATGTAGCCGCCATGTTGTGAGGTTTCTGTAGAGTTAGATTCTTATTTCTTAAGTGGAATTTATTCCTCATAATTCAATAAATGGAGTGATCATTCGACCTAATCTTCATATTTGTGTTTGTTCTTATTTTCCGCATCTTGTTCATCAAATCTCAATTAGGGTTTTAATCCTAACAAGTGGTATCAGAGCGGGTCTTTGAAGATCTATTTATTTTTGAAGTATCGATTCTTGGTTTGGTGATTTTCTGCACATATATTGAAGATTATTGGTGTTTTGGCGGTATGGAATCAAGATTTTTGTTCAATCTACTGTTCATGGAAACTTATGTATTCAGTTAATGTTCATCATCGTGATTTCGATCTTATTCTCTTTTATTCATTTTTATTCCCACTAAAGAATTTATTGTCACTGTTATATTCCACCGATAATGACCCAATTGTTTTTTACCTATTTTTTTTCCAGCCGATGTCATTGAGCCCAATCTTTTCTTTTAATCGTTTATTGTTCATTTGTTTCATCTAGAAAACCCATTGTTTAGGTTCACTAATCGTTTTCTTGTTCTTATATCGTTGTTAGAAATCTCAGTTTTCTGAATCACGAAAGTCTAACTTTATTACGATTGAACATTACGATTCTTAATTTCTATTTGATTCGCTTATTGATTCAGTCCGGTTCTTGAGTTTTAGTCATCAAATCGATTTTGATTGACTTAATCAATTTTGTTCGTGTACTGTTGATCCAATTAACGATTGATAATGATTTTTATTTAATGAGAATCATTTATTGTTATCTGTATGATCGTTTGTGATTTTGGGTCTAGTATTGTCATTCGATGTTATCAGGGGAATCATATTGATGAACCAATTGTTTGAAGGATCGATAAAGGATGGATGAATAACAATGAACAGAACTGGGTTTGTTTGTGGTCAAAATCTGAAAAGTCAAAATTGAAGTTATAGATTTATGAGCGGTGCTTTCATTTATGAGTGTAATCGGATATGAAGGCTGAATCGATTTTCTATGATTGTCGGTTTCTTTGTTATTTATCGTGATTCTGAGTTGGGCATTCACTGTGTTTGGTATTGATTTGAAGACTTGTTCGCTATAGCTAAATGGTTCTTGCAATTGGTGATTACAACAATCCGAACTGAAATTGTTGACTCAAAGCGAATCGACTCGCAATCGGAAATAATACTGGACTCTGGCTTCCGATTCAATCTCGATGGGTCAAAGGATAAAGTCAAAATCGCTATGAAAGCCTTACCTGTGAACGTTCGTTTACTGCGCTTCTCTTTGGGGTATAATCAACGAAATTGAAGCGAATCTATGATTGGGTTCGTCTGTTACCTTGGAACGAAAGAGGGGAAAGCGAACATGTGGTTCGTCTTGGCTAAAGGTTTCACTCCTTGTTCGCATCGTGATGCTTGATTTCGCTTTTGTATCAATGGCCTTGGAATGTACCTGGAACGAACTTGAGTTTGGTTGGTAGCTCTTGGAACGAAAGCACTTGGAAGAAATAGGGGAGGACCGAAAGCGAACTTGTGATTCGGTTTGGCTAAATTTTCGCTTGTCATGAAGTTGGATTTCGGACCGAACATGGCTTTTGCATCAACAATCTTGGACCGAACTTGGTTTCGGTTGCTTGTGCTCGGACCGAATGAACAAATCGTGGTGGTATCATTTCTTCTTTTATCAGTCGCTGTGGGGAAGAAGATAAATCAAAGTTTCCCACTTGGTCCCTGCAACTTCAGGAATTTGACGATCTGGTCCCTATACTTTTCATGCCTTGGCAGTTTTGGACCATTTCCAGATTTTGTTACAAATAAAGGGGTATATTGATGCAGAATTACCATTCTAGTCCCTGTCTTTCAGCAAGTGACAGTTTCTGCCCTATATTCAGAAAAGTTTACAAATTTAAGGGCCGATGAACAGTTTTGGATTTTTTTTAACGCACATGTTTTTTCGTGAACAGAAAAATAAAGATTCCATCAAGTCTTGGCGGTCGGAAAGTCATTTTTCATGATAACGTCAAATTTTTCACGACTTTTTCGGATTTTGTACTTCATTGTGTATGTCATTTTGTCGCGGGGGAGCTTAGTAAATTGTTATCCATTCAAGATCATTCTCATGACCATTTGAAGGCTTTATAATCATGTTTTTGATTATAAATCGGGGGAGAATTTGGTATGGCCATTCGAAATTGGATTTGTGACTTTTCAAAGTTGAAGATTTTTGATAAAGCTTGTGGTAGAATTATGAAGGTAGCTTTTATAGTAGAAGTTCTACATCGAGCTCTGCTAAAGCTTTTACAGAGAAGTATCCTTTACAGTAGAATTTCTTCATCGAGCTCATCTAAGGACTTGTTATATCTCCGACTTCTAGTATTTTCTCGATCAAGTGGCATTACGAATCTTAAAGTTGGGTTGTTACATGATATTTTTTGATGGCTTATATCATTAGCTTTTTTGAAGATCATTGTGACTTGGAGGGGGAGCTCTTCAAAGACAAGAAGTGATTTGGTTTCTTTGTTCTGAAATGGGTTTTTCATAGCGGGTTTGGTTTTCATGAAGATTTTTTTGGGTTTACATTCGAAAATGAAGTTTAAAGACATTACTTCAGTGCTTGGTTTATATATCCTAGAGCCCGTGTTTGAAGACTATTGAAGAATCAAGATTCGTGGATTGCTTCATCTATTCCTCGTTGCAAGTTCTTTTTATTTGCTAGATGCTTCTTTTGGAAGTTAAAGCATTGTAATCCATTACATACTTTGAGGGGGAGATTGTAGGGTTTCAAAGCACTCCATGGATGATGGCAATGGGCCCCTTTGATGAAGTGTAGGTTAAAAGCCCAAGACTTGTCTTTTCCCTATAAATAGTCATGTATTATTCACAATTAGGGTTAAGAGTGAGGCAAAATGTAGCCACCACGTTGTGAGGTTTCTGTAGAGTTAGATTCTTATTTCTTAAGTGTAATTTATTCCTCATAATTCAATAAATCGAGTGATCATTCGACCTAATCTTCATATTTGTGTTTGTTCTTATTTTCCGCATCTTGTTCATCAAATCTCAATTAGGGTTTTAATCCTAACAGGTACACAAACAACCCTAATTGCTTTGGATCTATGTTTTCTCTAATTATACGTGCAATATTGTTTCCAAAGCATGAAGCCTACAACTAGCATACAATTGACATAAACAACATAGAATTTAGTTATAGAATTACCTCTTTGTTGTAGCTTGTAGTTTTGGCCTTTAAGAACTTAGCACCTCAAATGTGATGCCTCAAATGGTTCACAAACACCATGAACAAATGGAGGAGTTTTGAGAGAGAATATGGAGAATAAAATTCGGCTATGCTTCTCCAATAATACATGTTCAACCAACTTTAGTCCAAAGGGGTGTCATATATATAGTGTAGGAATCCAAGAGTCATGGGTAAACCCTAATCCATACACTTGGGTTATGATCCATATTTCATGTGGGCTAACTCTTCATGTATACTTACATAAACTTAGCCCATCGTGGATCAATAGCCCAAACACTATATATCACTGAT